CACAGAGACAGAGACACACACACACACACACACACACACACACTCTAATGTAACAGTCTCTCTGTCATGTATACCCTGTTCTATGAGGTTTTTATACAGCTTTTACACATTCCCGTTAAAAAATGCAGCTTAAACCAATCTTAGCTGGCCAGAACAGACCAGTCTAACCAGCTAAACACCAGCCTAACCAGTCTGGAAGACCAGCTTAAAGAAAGAATTCACCCAAAAATGAAAATTCTGTACTTAATTATATTCATCTCGTTACAAATCTGCATAAATTAGTTTTTTTCCATGGACCGTTGTTTTTTTTTTGTTTGTTTTAAGAATAGATTATTCCTTCAGACCAGCTAAGACCAGCAAGTTTTTTTCAGCAGGGATTTTAGATGTTACTGCGGTCAGAATAAACCTCTGTCTTCTCTTGCTGTCAGGGCTACTCTTTTGTGGCTCCTTCTATCTTGTTCAATAAGAACGTGGTGATGGCGGATGTTCTGGACACTCATGTGAATGTTGACAGGCCCGGTTCTGCTACAGTCCAGCGCAGTGCTATGCTAAAGGTACACAGCGCCTCTAAAAAAAATAAAGGGTTCAAGGGAGATTTTCAAGGGTTCAACAGCACGGTTTCTTCTGTGTTTTTCAGGAATCTCAGTTCTTCCAGCACTATGAGCTGTGCCTGCAGGGGGCTCCACTGGGCGAGGGGAGCTTCTCTATCTGCAGAAAGTGCAGACACAGGCAGAGCGGACAGGAGTACGCTGTAAAAATCATCAGCAGAAGGTAGAGACATCAAACCAGATTTGTGCATTGCAAAATCACATTAAAAATCATGTGTCATTGCTTGAGGTTTCAGAGTCATTATTTGAGCTTTTCCACAAGGATAAGCATTAAAAGAAAACAAATAACATGATATTCTAAAAATTGATCCACTCTTTTTATTGGAAAAGTCATAAAAAAATTATTTTTTCTTAATTAATGTACTCCTTTTTTAATGGAAAATCATTCAAAAACTACTGAAATAAATATAGGTTATTTTAATGTAAAAGAATATGAAGATTTTTTTTTTAAGTGAACACTAAAGTAAAACAAATGTATCAAAAATAAATAATTTTATCTTCTCAGCATGATTTAAAAAAAAATAAAAAATCTAATTTTAGTCTTACAACATTAGCGTTTGCTCTAAACTCAGAAGTAGGGAGTAGCTATAATACTGTTTTTGAAATCAAATCTTTGATTGTTTATGACAGGAAACACTGGCATCTAACAGTGCTTTGAAAAAAACTTTATCTTAAAAAATAAAGCATATGCATAAATCCAAATAAAAGTTATCGAATGTGTCCTAAACTCCTAAAACATTGCGGTCTCATATTTTAGAGTAGTCACTGCAATTTATGAAAGAAATCAATTAAATCTGTATGTGAGTGTGTGTGTGTGTGTTTGAAAAAAAAATTCAGATGTAACCTCCTTTGTAATCATTAACATTTTCAGAAGTAACTGTAATGTAATGACACATTTTTATCAGTAACTGTAACTGATTACAATTACATTTATTTTGTAATTAAATTACGTAATTTAGTTACATGTAGGGTTGCAAAGGGGTGGAAAATTTCCGGTAAATTTCCGGAAACTTTCCAAAGATCCCTGGAATATTCCAAAAAATCCTGAAATGTTTCCCAAATTTACTGGAAATTTTCTACCTTTTTGCAACCCTACTCGGAAGTAAAGAATTGTTTAGACTGTTTTTAGAGTATTGCAGTGACTGTGTTTCCTTCACCGTTTTTCTGCAGCAGCACAAGAGAGATATAGGTTTATATTTGTGAGCTTGTATTACGATTTTAATGTAACGAGAGACTGGGATGTTATGAAAGTTACTAATAGCATACAAAGTCAGAGAGTGTGTCTCGTTCATTTATAATTGCGTGGGATTATTCATATTTATATGCACAGGAGAACAACTCAGCCTAATTCACAACACACGTACATGAACTTGTTCTTAACCTTGCTTATGCAGAATTCACATTAACATTTTTGCATATACACAATTAGTGAATGAGAGCCCATGTCTGATTTAAGGCAACAGACCTTGGACACTGAAAGCCGTCTGTTCACATCCTACTCGAAATAAACCAGAACTGTTATGTGAATTGCTAAAAATGCAAATTTCATGAAGTTGGTTCTTCTGCAAACACAGAATCCTGTGGAAAACACTGCCCTGGCTACATGCTAACTGAGAGTAGCATAGTAAAAGTAATGCTTTCTGGACGTAAACATTGTTTGCAGTTAATGTGCATTGTTTTTGTTTAGTTTACTGACAAATAGAATCGACCCTCCCCACAGAATGGTCTTGCATTTAACCAATAAATTCAGTTATAGGGCTGTTATCAACAAAATCTGTTGTTTTTGCCCTGCAGAGGTGGCACAGAAGCTGCATCTGAAGTGGCATTTAGATGCATTTACACCGACTGTTTCATGCAGCTCAGAGGTGGCATGAATGCATTTACACTGCAATTACAGTTTCATGAGTGATGCAATACAATTCCGAATGCTAAAAAATGAAACAAAAACTGCAAACAAGTCATTGTTTTAATGAGTAAGTCATTGAATCATTCAGCTAGTTTAAAAACAGCTGATGAATTTAGAAACTAAGCAAGTGACTCTTTATGAATGGGTATTGAATCATTCACTCAAACACAGATTCATTCAGTAAGGAAACACTGCTTTGTGTCGCTCTGAGACGAGCAAGCGTTGAATACTCGATAATGTCAGCTCGCACATCGTTAAAGCAACAGTTAACCTTTCACACAAGTCAACTCAGAGTCTTTCTGCTGTTGTAGGATGGAGGCCATGACTCAGAAAGAGATCGCAGCACTACGCCAGTGTGAATCTCACCCCAACATCGTCACGCTCCACGAGGTCTATACCGATCAGGTACGATACCTAGCTGTGACAATGAAGACATTCAGCCGTTTTAAGCCAAAAAAAAGAGTACTTTATTGAAGAATCATGTGCATTTATGCATGCATACCTGATCTCACACTATTAATTCTCTTGCATGGCTTTTTTAAGTACCCCATCCCTGTATATTCCTTCTTTTTTTCTCTGTTCTGTCTCTCGCAGTATCATACGTATCTGGTCATGGAGCTGTTGCGTGGTGGAGAGCTGTTGGAGCGAATAAGGAAGAAGAAGGTGTTTGCAGAATGGGAGGCCAGTCAGCTGATGAAGAGCCTGGTGTCTGCGGTCAGCTTCATGCATGAGGCCGGAGTCGTGCACCGAGACCTCAAACCTGAGGTAGAGAGGCAGATACTGAGAAACTAGAATTACAGATGGAATCGATTTTTTTCTAGCTACACCCGAGCACTCTGGCAACTACATAGCAGTGTGCTAGAAACAACTCTAAACACCTAGTATTACGACAGTGATGTTTGCACAGTGAGTGTAAAATCTAGTTAGATTATAGATGGAGCAAATCAGCATGAAAGCACAGCCAAAGGAATGATATGTTGTCATGATATTTTAATTTTTAACTTTGATGGAATACCTTGAAACATATAGATATTCAAAACCATTTTCAGTACCACGGGGAAATATTAAGGACATAGCATTTGAACTGTATCTAAGATGCTGTTTACTAGGGCTGGGAAATATAGTTAAACTATCTCAATATGTTTCCAAATTTTGACAATACTTCAATAATTTCCAGTTGTTCTTGAAAAATGTCAAAAGGTGATTTTTGTTTGGTTTGTTATTGTACAAAGTACATACAGATATCATTTACTGCCACAACAGTCAACATCGTTTGCAAAAATAATCGCTAACAAAATAATAATTATAATAGATATAGTGACCACTTACTGCTTTTTACCAAATTAACTAAAAATGAACATTTAAAATCATATTTACTATGAGGTACCAATATAATGCAATATGATGCAATGGAAAAATATCACTTCTAATGCCTCGAGGCCTGTTTCATTAAACAAGTTCACCAAATAAGCCAGGATTATTTTCAATGATTCATTGATTGTGTCAGTGCTTCGCCGTGTGTCACGTGTTGTCCCTCTGTGTTTTGACCTGCTCCGGCAGAACGTGCTGTTTGCTGACGAGGCGGATGACTCGGTGTTGAAGGTGATTGATCTGGGGTTCGCGCGGTTGTTTCCGAGCGGCAGTGCGCCCCTGCAGACCCCCTGCTTCACCCTGCAGTACGCCGCGCCGGAGCTCTTCCACAGCTCGGGATACGACCAGGCCTGCGACCTCTGGAGCCTCGGGGTCATTCTGGTGGGTGCAGGAGTGTGTATATGTGTGCTTGAGGATATTTATGTATTATTGTGGATGAAGCACTGTTTCGCTCTGGACTGCCAGATGTATTGTTTTATTCAGGGGAGAGGTCATTGTTTAAAGGTTGATACCTTAAACTGAATAAATACAAAAGTAACAAAAATCTATTTCAGTAAATTCCTGAAGTAAACTTTACTTGTTCTTTCCAAAAAAAAATGTGGTTACTTAAATAATTGGGTTGGTGCTGGAGATACACTGTAACACACTGTACACAATACACAATACACTGTCTGTCCTATCTGTCTGTCCTATCTGTCTGTCCATCTGTCTGTCCGTCTGTCTGTCCTATCTGTCTGTCTGTCCGTCCGTCTGTCTGTCCTATCTGTCTGTCTGTCTGTCTGTCCGTCTGTCTGTCCTATCTGTCTGTCTGTCTGTCTTATCTGTCTGTCTGTCCGTCTGTCTGTCTGTCCTATCTGTCTGTCTGTCTATCTGTCTGGCCTATCTGTCTGTCTGTCTGTCTGTCTGTCTGTCCTATCTGTCCTATCTGTCTGTCCGTCTGTCTCTCTGTCTGGCCTATCTGTGTCTGTCTGTCCGTCTGTCCTATCTGTCTGTCCTATCTGTCTGTCTGTCT